TTCAAAACGATTTTACATACTCATTGATCTCTTTTATGAAAAATGTTCTTTAGGGAAACTAAAAGCAATGTTGACAAAACTTTTACTTTATCTAGGGTAAATTAGTAATATTAGATCATTTCATGACTAACACGTCATTTGTTTTACGGTCATTGGCATTACTTTCTAACGTTTAACACCAATGACAGGAATGGTTACGACATTGACAAAACAAGTACTTATGTAGGCAAAATATATTCTTCTTATACTGAAAAATTATTTATTTGTATTCTACTTTGCAAACCTAATTTATGGTATTTGAAAGTACTTGATTTATTTTCCAATAAATATTTTTTACCACTTACGGAAGTTTTAAATATCTGGTAATGCCAATGACAACTTCAGATCATATACATGTCACACCAATGACAAAACATTTTTTTATGCTCAATAAATAAATTTTCCCTTCTGAAAAATTCACTGGCCATGCATGAATGTCAGAGTTTTTCACCTACGAAAAGTAAAATCAGTCAAGTTTAACTTTGTTTGTATAAATCTCTCTACGAATAGTTAACTTTTATGGTAACACCAATAACTGGTGAAGTAACACCGGTGACAAGAGATTTTGATTAATAAATTTTATCTACTAGTTCTCTAATGAAGAATGTAGGATTTTAAACATCATATCCTTCACAATTGAGACCCTTTTAACCTACAAAAACTATTGTTTTTTTCAAACCAACGATTAACAAACACTGCATATCTCTTGTCACTGGTGTTACTTCACCAGTCATTGGTGTTACCATAAAAGTTAACTATTCTGTCACTGGTGTTACCAGATTTATTTTTGTTTTAAGATCATTTTAAGTATGAAATCCCAGAAACTTTCTTCATTTTTGTATGTTAGCCATGCAGTGCATTCTGTCTTTCACATGAAGTTTCATGTTATAGTATGTTTAAATGCTAATTGTTAAGTGCTAAGTCATTAGTATTAATTTCGATCATTGGTGTTACAGTTGAGTCAGTGGAGTAACCAACCTAAAACTTGTTATTTTTTACTTGTAATAAGTTTAAATGTAAGAAATAACTTTATATTACCTAATTTCACTTCTTGAAAAAAGTCATACATTATGTTATTTTGAACTGTACACACATGGCACCACATTTACAGCATTTTTTAGTGTGTGTCTATTTATTCTTGTCTCATGTCAATGTCCAAATATGATTGAAAACTTATCTTTCATCACTGGACAACGATACTTTTGGATTTATCAGTTAACTTGATTAATCCTAGTACATGTTTATCATGGTTTGCATTCATAAGTTTTTTAATTGATTCTATACAACCAAATTTTATAAGGTAACACCAATGACAGAAAAACACAATTTCGTAACTTTTACAAGACCATTCTGAAAAAATAGCTTCCCTACTGTTTGCTAAATGTTGTTTTCCCTAAATATTGTGCAGCTTTATCAATTTAGATACAAAAAACCGGAAATATTTAATTGTATTTCCAATTTTCATATGAACCATTTAGCTGCTTTTTTATATATTGACCCAATTATACCATCGCGACCTCCAAAAACATAATTTTACAATAAAGAACTACCGGTAATTACAACACATGTCAATTCGAAGATTCATTAGAACTTCAATTAACATTCAGGATAATGCATATAGGATATAAACTATTGACTGAATTTCAATGAATGAAATCAAAATTCAATTTTATTGATATTTTTTTCATATAACAAAACAATCTTTGACCGTTTTAAATAGCATCATTGATTCTCTAAGCCTCCTTGAGATGGGCAATATTTCATCTCTTTAAGACTAATATAATCGATATTGTCCTCAAACCCAGTCAATATTTGTATAATATGTGCATTGTAGAAATAAACTTATTTGTTTTTCTCACAAGCTGTGAATATGTACTTTTCTTTTCAAATCTCTCATATGGTGATATCTTGACTGTGTAGTGTATACAACATCCACAGGTTCCCGTTATTACAGGACTGTAAACAGTTAACTGGTATTTTATATGAAATGGGGTTCGTTTTATACGTAAATGAACACAAAACCCATGTTGTCGATATGGATAAGTGTATTCAATGAGTATTATCACAGGTCTGAAATATATATAAACAATCATAAATATTTTATAACAATAAATATATGTCAATCACTTGTCAGATAGCACGGTCAAAATAAGAGTTATTGCCCTTTAATTGTGCTTATGTATAAAACATCAATAATATGACTGGAATTTATAGATGAAACAATAAGATCAAATTATATTGAACTTTTCCAGAATAATATAATATTATGGAAAATATTCAAAATATATATACATCATTCCTATATGTAATATAAAGCCAATACTCCAAATATACAATGAAGAGTGAAATCTTACTCAGTGATCTGTATATAAATAAAAAAAGCTTTACTGTATTGCTCTCAAAAATGTAAAATACACTGATACACTGTATATGAATTCACTACTTTCATTATTTACAAAGTCATAAAATAATCACAAAGACTGAATCTTCATACTTTATATTAGAATATTAATATTTAGGAATTAAATAGATAAACAATTATATAGAGCTAATGAAATTAGTAAAAGTCAACTTACATTCTGTCCAGTCTTGGTCATGGTCATAAATAAGTCAATATAAACAAACAAATACACAAACACCAAAATGTCTGCTGGTCAGACCAAGATCTCCAACAAAAGTAATTAACTAAGCTAAAAAACCAAAAGAGAGGGAAACTAACCAACCAATGAAATCCAAGTTGGCCCTGACACTACACAAGATATAAATAGAAAAGGGACAGGTGTTTAAATGACCACTGTGATGTCATACAGCTATAAATAACTCAATGAACACAGATTGATATAATTCCATGTTTATTTATTCAATAAATGAAATGCTGAAAAGAAATAAATATGATAATTCAACTGAATTAATTTAATCCTGAAATATAATGATTAATATACGGTAAGAAATAAATCACCCTATCACATATATATATTCTTTATTGTTTAGATATACATTCAGTGTTGAGTTGTTCTTTACTGCCTTATGTAAATACAAGGTTATTATTTACAGGTTTTTGGATATTCAGGAATTATCTTGAAATTTTAAAAATACAGTTGCTGTATCTTATTTGTCATATACTTTTGAATCATAAACTTCTTACAGGGCAGTTTCACATTGTGATCAATCACACTACCGCTGTAAACAAAAATAAATATAACATTCAATCTCAAGCACAGCTCCAGAGGCTTTCCATTATGAGATCAGGTAGGGGATACCACATGCTACCTCTCAGATCTCTATGAAATTTGGTGTACAGGTTTAATTAGTCTGTCCCCAATGTCTAATTTATCAAGTAAATTATTCTAGCAATAGCATGCATTATTTAAATTTACTGGATAATATTTTGCGGCATAATCAATTTTTACTGCAAAAAGATCCTTAAATTTTGAGAAAATAAGTAAAATTTCAAATTTAGCACCTTTTGTAAGTGCATATATGACAATTAATTTAACTAGATGAAACTTGCACAAATACACAGTGCATGATGCATAAAATTATACTTTTCCGATCTATCTTTGTTAAATCAAAATTAGTAATACATACATAAAACTGGAAAATATTATAATTCTTATAAACTAGAAAGATTGGAAATATGTAGTCTTCATAATTTCAAAGCCAAAACATTTAATGATAAAGAATAAGGGGGATTCAGCATATTTCCAATCTTGCCATTTGATATTCTGCAGAATAAAATTGATACGATCACATATTTATATTTAAAAAAATGATTTTGGGTTTTATTTGAGACGTCACAACTGATTGTCTAGTAAATTTGGTTTCAAAATCTGGTGAATAAATAGAATCATAAACCGTTTGAATTTGCATACAATTGATTATGCTGTGACTAATAATAGACAACCAATTCTACAAAAATGAATTTTTAAAAAAAATGAAGAATATAGCACACACTGATTTTACAAATCCTGAAGTTATACTCTGCTGAAATTTACCTGTGTGGGTTTGATAGTTGGACCGACACCTTTAAATTCACCAAAAGCGTCAATCCAAATATCCACCTTGCTAGCTAATTCTAAGACAAGAGTTCAAGATTATAGTTTAACAACTAAAGGGACTAAGTGTCCTATTTGAAAGTAGGAGAACTAGTCAGGGGAAAAGTTTGGATATCTGAAAAATTCGACCCCCCCCCCAAATCTCTGAACTGGAGGTCCTATTTCGTGGTGGAGATTGGATATAGCTGACTTTTTTCTGAATTGTAATCAATAAACTCAAACGATATGAACTGTGGGAATTATCTGCAAATTAGTAATAAATTATCTTAATTTTTATTACACCTTAATTGCTTTTTAAGGATGATACATAAGGTCAGATACATGTATTTCTGTCAAACTTTTTTTCCTTTTATTTGAGAAATGTTGATTTATAAAAAGTAGCACCACATACCTGGTTTATACAACGAATAAACTAAAAATAACTCTGTTTGATGATTGCCTTTTAAATTTCTCGATAGTTCTACCTATCTAATGAAAATTCCAATCGATCATGCACTGATAACAAATGAGCAAACAGACTCTGCACATGCTCAGTGACCTGGTAGACAGGTAACCAGGAAGAAAAATCATCAAACCGAAAGTAGTTCCCAGAAAGGTGAAGATTGAGAAAGGGAGATTGAAATGCTTATTCTTTTCTGACAGTTAGCCTTGAAAAAATGGAACTAAACAGGTAAGTCTATACAGATTTTCTTTACAGTTTATCATTATAATTACTTAAAAATTTATTTCAAAGTAGTGGGCTAAATTTTTACTGGAAGATCTCTTGATTTTTTCAATGATTTACTTCGCAATCCATATAAAATTATAGTAGTTAATGTTTGAAATGGTCATTCCATACGTTTACTATATGTTACTTTTATTTATTCTTTTTTATTCAAATTATAATTTTAGTTCCTGCTAGAGACAATGGCCTCTCCCACTTCCTGGGCACAAGAGCTCATCACTTGTGATCTTTGTCCTAAGCCTACTAAGCAGTTCTGTAACAACTGTCAAGTCAGTTTATGTGTGGACTGTGTCAGCAAACATGTGGAAAATCTCAAATCTCAAACCCACGACATTGTTTATTTCACTAACAGGAAGATACAACCAGTGTTTCCAGATTGTACGATTCACTCTAACCAGAGATGTGAGGCCCACTGCCAACAATGCAATGTCCAAGTCTGTTTGAAATGCATTCTCACGTCCCATAATGGACACAAGATTGTGGATATGCAAGAGATTTTCAATGAAAAGAAAAATGAAATTGAAAAAGAAAACCAAGAAATTGAATCCAACATTCTTCCCAAGTACAAGAAGAAAATGGACAATATTGCCGGCAGAATATCCACATCAACAGCCAAATTTGATGAACTAGAAAAAGATGCAGAAAACCACAGAAAACTATGGCACCAAGAAGTAGATAACATCTTCAGCAAACTTAGTTCCTCGATCAAGTCCATGAGAGAAAGCTATCTCATTTCTCTAAAATCTTACCAATCCAAGTTAAAAAATCTTATTCCAGATATGCTGCAAGCCCTTGAACAAAACAAAGAAATCTTGAAGACTAACAGAGTGTGTGAAGTCAATAACTACAAATCCAGACTGGCAGAAAACAGGGAAATACCTTTTAATATTGATGGCAAAATTCCCTCATTGAATACAATAACTGTTCAAGGGAGAGAACTTAGCATAGAATTAGGAGAATACCAGGCTATATTAACACAGACAGTGTTATCTAGTCTGACAGATGAAGTATCCCATTTATCTTTAAGAGAGTTATTAGACAAAGCCAAAGTGATAACCATAATTCCTACTGGAGTTAAACATTTAAGGAGAGTGGCCTGTGTAGGAAGTGATGAGGCTTGGATTAGTGGTTACAACAAAGCCATAAGACATGTTGACATGCATCGGTCTGCACAGAAATCTGTTACAACGGGGTGTCTGTTAAGTCCTAGAGACATTGCTGTGACCAGACAGGGAGAACTGATATATATTGATTCTGACAATGCAACAGTGAACATTGTAAGAAGTGGAAAGACAGAGGTACTCATCAACACACCACAAGGCTGTACACCAAAGAGACTTTGCTGTTCGAGGTCAGGGGACATACTGGTCAGTGTCAGAAGTAACAATCAAAACAAAATACTACGTTATCAGAGAGATATACTGAAGCAGGAAATTTATAGAGATGAACATGGAAATACAATTTTTAAGGAAGGATATTGTGTATTATATCTCGCAGAAAACAACAATGGAGATATCTGTGTCTCTGATATTAATGCTAAAATCGCAATTGTGGTAGACAAGACAGGAAGAGTCCGATTCCGATACGATGGTACACCAGCCAGGAGAGAGAATCCATTTAGTCCTAGAAAATTAGTGACAGACTCCATGGACCAGATCATTGTGGCAGATTATTATAATGACTGCCTTCACATCCTTGATCAAAATGGACAGTTCCTGAGATGTGTGGACAATTGTGGATTAGATAAACCTAGTGGATTGAGTGTCGATAGTGAGGGGAGGTTGTGGGTGGGATTTGGGGATTCAGGAGACATAAAAGTGATACAGTACATGAAATAAACAAAGACTGGGTAGTATATATCAAAGGATGACAGCATATCTTGTGAACTTTTTATGTACATGTATAAATAAAAATAAATACAGTAAACATCCAATATTTATCTGAAAAAGATAAGAAATTCCATGCTTTTCACTGAGCATGCTCAATCATAACTTCCTTTATTTGAATATTAAATTGGAGGGATTCATGGTCATAAGCTAAGGCAATGTGCCTTTTTGCTCTATTTAAAGGATACTGTATACAGGGAAAGGAGATGGGTGAACTTAGCGTGTAGAAAAACCCACAAGCTTCAGATATGTATTAATAAAAATCATATTCAATTTGTAATTTTAGTATTTAGAGTAAAGTTCTCATCATTGATTTTTGTAAAATCGCGATAAACAAACTTCTGTGGAAAATTTTTCGTAAAAATTTATTCTTCTATGAAGAAAAATAATGTGGTATCCATTGGGTTCGAACACTGGAAACGTCAGTTAGAATACTTTTGATAATCAAGGTAAATACATGGTTGTTGATTGGTTTTGTACATGGAATTTTGACATGTTCATGCGACGAGACTACGTGACCCGCAATTGGAGAAACTACAACAGTTTGATTTAATATTTATTACACTTTTATTTTAGCAGCAATCATTATGATTGATTTCTCAGTTAAAAATAAATGCATTTGCCATACTTTAGAGCCATCATTTTTAGTCCCCTACCGGTGAAACCGGAGGGGACTATAGGTTTCCTCTGCGTTCGTCCGTCCGTCCGTCCGTCTGTCTGTCCCCGTCAGTCTGTCCCACTTGGTTATCCGCACTTTTTTTCTAAACGCTTGCAGATATTGAGCTGAATTTTGGTACGTGAGTGTATCTTAATGAGTTACAGATCAAGTTTGAATTTCTTTTTGCTTCATTGATTTTTGACAGAATTATGGCATTTTGAATACTTTTCATTCCCACTTGGTTTTCCGCACTTTTTTTCTAAACGCTTGTTTATCTAGAACTTTTAAGGATATACGATCCTCAGCCAGGAAGGATAACTCTTTAATTTATAATTTAATTCAAAAAGTATTAAAATAAGGCTTGAAATTGAAATTTTTTTTCATGCAACAATTTTCATTTTATGCGTCTACATATGATTCAATGCTCTTTAAAGTTTTAACAAACGTTATTTAAAAAGTTGACATTTGTATCTCATAAAATGAAGTAAAACTTGCATATTTAAAAAAAATTCAGTTTTCTTTAAAATTAGCCTTAGTTACTAATGTTTATATGCATGATTTGAAATTAGAAGTGATTTACAGTGTTTTCTTTGAAAGGAAATACTTCATACACTATGCATTATGAAATAATGGAAGTAAGTAGGAGAGAGTAAAGTCCAAATAAGTGTAAAATTCATGCAATTTTCTTTAAAAGCCTGGATACCTATGATTTTTATTCCTAAAATGTATTTCTTGATCAATTATCAATTAAAAAATATGCAGTAGGTAGTTCAAATCACATTTCCTGAAAAATAATTCGAGATTTACTAATTTTCCCTATATAATATAATTAAATTTAAAGATGAATTTTCAAGAAGCACCGTGGGTAAATACATTTTAATTTGAGAATTTAGAGACATCTTTGTAAGCATTTTCAATTACTCAGTGCCTGATTTTCAGAACCTGAGGATCGGATAACCTTAAATCAGCCTTTCTGCAGCGAACAAAAACGAAAGTAGCCCGTCACCACAGCAGAAACATTCAAGTCTTTAATGCGTGCGTTTCAGAATTTCGATTGTCGGATGCTGTCTTCAAGTTTATATTCGTTTTTTTTATTAATTACATACAGAAAGACCAGTTCTTCATGACTAGCGTATTCATTAAGTTTTTTGCGCTTAAATTTTAACACTAGGCATAAAATACACGCGAGTGACCCGGAATTGGAGACGACCCGGAATTGGCGACTCCACTGTATCATTATTAGATATATCCGATAAACTTATTAGTCCCCTACCGGTGAAACCGGAGGGGACTATAGGTTTCCTCTGCGTCCGTCCGTCCGTCCGTCTGTCTAGCTGTCCGTCTGTCTGTCCCCGTCTGTCCCACTTGGTTTTCCGCACTTTTTTTCTAAACGCGGGCAGATATTGAGCTGATTTTTGGTACGTGGGTGTATCTTGATGAGTTACAGATCAAGTTTAAATATCGTTCCGATTCAATGATTTTTTACGGAATTACGGCCTTTTCAATTTTTCATGGTTTTCCACACTTTTTTTCTAAACGCTTGCAGATATTGAGCTGAATTTTGGTATGCGAGTTTATCTTGATGAGTTACAGATCAAGTTTGAATTTTGCATAGCTTCATTGATTTTTGACAGAATTATGGCATTTTGAATTTTTCACATTTGTTTAATTAAGATCGGGTTTGTGCTGCGCTAACTTCCGATGGTCGACATAAATACCCGTACGAAACAGTCCGGGCGGCTTAGACACGGCTCAGGCACGGATTCCGTCTCCTGAAACCCGTGCTTTAGCATTCCGTGCTCCTATGTAAAGCATTTATGGAAAGCCGTGCCTAAAAGTGGTCGAGGCACGGACACGGCACGGGATAATGGCCGAATTATTTAAATGAGATCACACGGTCTTACAAAACCCGTGTCAGAAAGCCGTGCTTGTTTCCATATATGGACTCACGGATTCTGTAAACCCGTGTCTGAAACCCGTGTCCTTTTCCATATATGGAGACACGGTTTTTTTGAAACCCGTGTCAAAAAAGCCGTGCCTTATACCATATAAGGAGTCACGGGATCTGTGCATTCGTCTAGATCTAGGTCATGGCCTTTAGAGAATGTCCTGATGTAACTGTGAATGCCAAAATAGTGACTGAAACTAAACTAACTTCACATTTCCTTACAATCATGCTAATTTAAGTTTTAGAATTTCAAAATCTTCTATGAATGTGTACATTTACTTTCTGTTAAAGATTAACTTTATCAGTTACAATTCATGCTAGTTTTTAATTAAGATTTTAATGATAATGTACAATATTCAATTCAATTGTAATTTAATCTAGTAGCTATAAGTTTGCACAATCTGAGAAAGAATTTAGTATAAACCAGCATTCTGAGAGTATTGCATAAGCAATACATGTCCCCTACCGGGTTCCCCTATTTCTTCATGATGTCATTTTTTAATGTGCAAATGTCATGTCCAAGGTTAAACTGAAAAATTTTCAAGTTGTAAATGCCTTAAATCTAATAAAATAATAAACTTTAAGACGACAATTCAACTCATTTATCCATCGTCTTTTCCTCGCTTCATATTTTTGTCGACAATCGGAAGTTAGCGCAGTTCGAACCCGATCTTAATTAAGCGATTATGAAAAATATTCAAAATACCATAATTCAATCAGAAATCAATAAAGCAAAACAAAATTCAAACTTGATCTGTAACTCATTAAGATACACTCACTTACCAAAATTCAGCTCAATATCTGCAAGCGTTTAGAGAAAAATTGCGGAAAACCAAGGGGGAATGAAAAATATGCCATAATTCTGTCAAAAATCAATGAAGCAAAACGAAATTCAAACTTAATCTGTAACTCATTAAGATACACTCACGTACCAAAATTCAGCTCATATATCTGCAAGCGTTTAGGAAAAAAGTGCGGAAAACCAAGTGGGAATGAAAAATATTCAAAATGCCATAATTCTGTCAAAAATCAATGAAGCGAAACGAAATTCAAACTTGATCTGTAACTCATTAAGATACACTCACGTACCAAAATTCAGCTCAATATCTGCAAGCGTTTAGAAAAAAAGTGCGGAAAACCAAGTGGGACAGACTGACGGGGACAGACAGACAGACGGACAGACAAACAGATGGACGGACGGACGGACGCAGAGGAAACCTATAGTCCCCTCCGGTTTCACCGGTAGGTAAATTCAGCTCAATATCTGCAAGCGTTTAGAAAAAAAAGTGCGGAAAACCAAGTGGGAATGAAAAATATTCAAAATGCCATAATTCTGTCAAAAATCAATGAAGCGAAACGAAATTCAAACTTGATCTGTAACTCATTAAGATACACTCATGTACCAAAATTCAGCTCAATATCTGCAAGCGTTTAGAAAAAAAAGTGCGGATAACCAAGTGGGACAGACTGACGGGGACAGACAGACGGACGGACGGACAGACAGACGGACGGACGGACGGACGCAGAGGAAACCTATAGTCCTCTCCGGTTTCACCGGTAGGGGACTAATAAAACTTTCACTCTATAGCACAGTGATGTCACATTAGTGAAAGTCCAACTAAAGTCATTCAAATAAGCCTAAACTATTTCATCATGTTCATTGTCAACATTGCAATACAGGAAGATTGAAAAATTGACTAATTTATAGATTACACTTACTGCATTTAGTTTAAAAGTGAAGAAATTATCCCAGACTGACATAAATACAATTCCAACTGACATCTATTGGTTAAATATCCTTTAAATAGAGCAAAAAAACACACTGACTTAGCTCATGACCAAGAATCCCTCCAATTTAATGTTCAAATAAAGGAAGTTATGATTGAGCATGCTCAGTAAAAAGCCGTGAGATATAAATAAATAGTTTGAAGCAAAACCCGCCTCAGTTAAAAACCGTATCCCTGGGACACGGAGTCAGTCTTTCCACACGGGTTTCTGTGAGTGAGGATTCCTCACTTTCAGACACGGAAGCCGTGTCCGTGTCTTGGACATGCAGAACCCGTGCGGCTTTTTAAAAACCCGTACGGATTCCGTGTCTTAGCCGTGCCCAAGCCGTGCCTATTCCGCCTCGAACTTTCGTACGGGTAAGAAGCGAGAAAAAGACGTTGGAAAAATGATTTGAATTTTCGTCTTAATGTGGATTATTTTAATAGGTTTAATGCATTCACAAAATAAAAATCATGCAGCTTTACCTTGAACATAACTTTTGCATCTTATAAAATGACATCCTGAGAAAAAGGGGGAACCCGGTAGGAGACATTATTGCTTATGCAATACTCTCAGAAT